TAATAAAATACTGCCCAAATATCAGGCCTCAACTCATTCCATGCCCCTCAACAAATTTCTACACCAAATACTAGTTTATCAAATGATACCTTGATCGACAAAACCAAGTCCAAGAAGAGCGTCCAATCCAGTGTGCGAAGCTTCCATTAACCTCGCTGCTGTCCAATTTACATGTTTGAGATCTGAATGCTTTGCAACAATTTCTCTTCCAATGTGACGGATCTCATTCAGCTGAGTTTGCACACCAGTGCTATCGCTTGACAACGGTGGCAATTGATCGACAAGTTTCTCAGTCTGACCGGTCCAGAGAAGTAGCGAAGAGAGTTTTTCCTGGCAAAAAAAGAAATAAATGCAAAGTCAAAGTGCATCCTTGGCGAGTAAGGGTGAAATAGATGTCCACCTCTGTGCGATGACTTACAAATCTGGAGACGAAAGCACGAAGGATCTTATAGTAAAATCTGATTTAGCCTGTAATGATGTACCCCTACGCTTTCCCATTACAATGGTTAGTTTTGTTGCATTACGTACGTAGCCACAGCTCAATATCTTTGGTGTAACTAACCATGATTCTTTATTTTACTTCGATAAACCAAAGCTTGGAACCACATCGTGTCCATCTTAGGAAACCAATCAGGTAGCATGTAAAACTACCAAAGGGTATTTAAGTAGCAAACATACTTCTAGGTCGGTTATCTTTTATTCATTATCTTTATCCACTCCGCTGTGACCCGTGGAGTTTGAACTATCCTCATTAATTGACGTTCTATTCTCAACACCATACTAAAATTCACCTGGTTCCAAATAGGATATTTAATGATAAAACGTTGCATTTTATCTCTGCGTCCCGGAGCATCCATAGAAGTATCATGCTGCGAGGCATACGCGATTTATATTTTAGAGAGCCTCGGTTTTCAGATCACAATAAACACATTTCGTAGCTCCTAGCTTATAGGTATCAAATTATTAGCATCTAGAAATGTTTAAAATGTGGATAGAGGTCGATAATAGTCGATCCCAGATCTATGTTATGCCGTGCTTATCTTGATAGGAAGGTATTGCTCAGCAATATATTAGCTTTATTGTTTTTAAACATTGCTAAAAAGAAATAAAGAGCATGAAATGTCTATATTGCTGATTACACAAAGCAAACATCGAAACCTTGTTCGAATTAGTTTATATAAGGCGGAAAAAGCAAGGCAATAACAAAGAAAAGCAAGTAGATACCAACCGGTCATACATAAACAAGTCAATCAAAAAAAAGATTATTATATTCAATATTGAATTATGC